ACCTGGGGTCACCACAGGGGTCTTGGTGGAAGCTGACTGCCAAGCTATGCCCATTGGCTCCTGGACAGCCACGTGGAGGGGGCTGAAAGAAAGACAGTGAGAGGCAAGTCCACTGGGGAAGAGGTCCTGTGCTCCCCCACACACTCACCCCCATGGAGACAGCTGCTTGCTGTGGGGCAGGTGCATCTGCTGCCTGGGCACCTCAGGGAACACAGTGTTCAGGTGGCCCCAAGGTGACCTCTGGTCCTCCAAACCCTTAGGAGCCCTGTGCCTTCCGACAAGCTCTACAGAGTTAAATGACACCCCCCCTGCCGGCCATGCCCAGGGGCACCTCTCACTGTCCGAACCAGATCCCGGGTCCCAGGGCAAGTCCCGTGGTCATGGTCCTGGGACCCATCTGAGCTAGAGGTGGGACGGGACAGGTGCAAAGCAGAGCAGGTGCGAGGTGGCTAGGATTCTCCTTGGCCTCCGCTGACCTAGTCAAACTTGGGCAGATAAAGCAGGTGAATGTGTGGGTGAGCAGGTGGATAGGTGGGCCTCGGCTGGGAGGAAGACATCTGCCTACAGCAGTCACCTCCCGAGAACAAACGTTTGTGCCATTCCTGACTCCACGGCCGGACCTCACACCCCTCGTCTGCTCTGCAAGCAAGGCCTCCCTGGCGCCTGAGGGATGGCAGGCATTCGCCCTTGGCCTTGGGTGGTCGTGTGGACAAGTGATGGACCCTCCCTCATCAGGCCCTAACTGTAGTTCAGACCTAACAGTGAAATAAATAAGGGCTGGAACCAAGTGGGGTTTTCAGACTGGACTTCCCCAGAGCTATTTTAGAGGTTGAGAGAAAACATTCCTTTTATTAAAATATTTAAAACTTTTCAAAAACTCTAGTGATATGTCAGATCCGTTGGAGACCCCCCCAGAATTTCTGTATACCTTCCCCCGGCCCCCATTTGTATTCTTTCTGCCTAAATGGGAGCTCTACAAACTCAGGTCCGAGGTGTTTCGATACCAAGGAAGCCACCAGCATTCTGGTCTGATGTGATTGGACCTGCTGCCTGTCACTCACTGAAAATGTCCTCCCACGGCAGCCTTTGGTTCTTTTTTTTAAAAAAATTATTTATTTTTATTGCAAATTCAGATATACAAAGAGGAGGAGAGACACAGAGGAAGATCTTCCATCCGAGTGACCACAACGGCCGGTGCTGTGCCCATCCAGAGCCAGGAGCCAGGAACTTCCTCCAGGTCTCCTGCATGGGTGCAGGGTCCCATGGCTTTGGGCCGTCCTTGACTGCTTTCCCAGGCCACAAGCAGGGAACTGCATGGGAAGTGGAGCTGCCAGGATTAGAACCAGCACCCATATACGTTCAAGGCGAGGACTTTAGCTGCTAGACCATTGCGCCGGGCCCATCAGCCTTTGGTTCTTATGAGTAGCCTTTATGGAAACAAAACAAAACAAAAAGCATTGTTAAGCTTTTATATTTAAATTACTAATAAAAGTTTACACTATACATTCATTTGGTTAGATGAAGTTAACACGGGTTAATAAAATCATAATAAAAAATGGTTGATGTTGGGGCTGGTGTTGTGGCCCAGGACACTAAGCTGTCCTCTGCAATGCCAGTCAACATCCCACACAGGCACCAGTTGAGTTCATAGCCCCAGCAGCTCTACTTCCAATCCAGCTCCCTCCTAATGCACCTAAAAAGCATGGAAAGATAGCCCGAGTACAAGGCCCCTGACCCATGTGGAGAAACCCAGCTACAGCTCCTGGCGCTGGCCTCAGCCTGGCCCAGTCCTAGCCAGTGCAACCATTTGAGAAGTGAGCTGGTGGGTAGATGTCTAACTCTGCCCTTTTACATTTTTTATTTTATTTTCATGTTTATTACAAAGGTGAGGAGTTTGAAGTGGGGCTCCAGTTAGGATGGAGAGAGTCAAGGAAGGAGAGAAAGTGGATGAAATAAATATTTAAAAAAAAAAAAAAGAAAAGAAAAAGAAATAGGGCCCGGCATGATAGCCTAGTGGCTAAAGTCTTGCCTTGCATACATCGGGATCCCGTATGGGCACCCAGTGGCCCCACTTCCCATCCAGCTCCCTGCTTGTGGCTTAGGAAAGCAATCAAGGATGGCCCAAGGCCTTGGTACCCTGCATCCACATGGGAGACCTGGAAGAAGTTCCTGGCTCCTAGCTCCTGATCAGCTCAGCTCGGCCATTACAGCCACTTGGGGAATGAATCAGCGGACGGAAGATCTTCTTCTCTGTATCTCCTACTGCCTGTATATCTTTCTAATAAAAATAAATTTTTTTAAAGATTTATTTTTTTTTTTATTGGAAAGGCAATTTACAGAGAGAAAGAGAGATCCTTCATTTTCTGATTCATGCCCAAATGGCTACGGCAGTCAGAGCTGAGCCCATCAGGAGCCAGGATCTTCTTCCAGGTCTACAACATGGGTGCAGGGTCCCAAGACTTTGCCCCATCCTCTGCTGCTTTCCCAGGCCATACTCAAGGAGCTGGATGGGAAGTGAAGGAGCTGGGTCACGAGTCAGTACCTGTATGGGATCCTAACGCCTGTAAATTGAGCATTTAGCCGATTGAGCCATCACACCAGGCCCTGAGACAGTCATTAGATGTCCCTTTGAGGCCCTGATGTGGGGAAGAATGTTCCAAGGATGTTACTTGAGCTGTCTTGATTATTCTGACAAGTCACTGGCTTTGTTCCACCAGAGGTGAGAAATTCTAAGGCTTGTTGGCTGTCCTTGTCCACCTGTGTGTGCCTGTTGTAGAGCCTGGCCTGGAGTGCTGTTCAACCTGCCCTTCTTTCAGTCCTTTGATGAGGTCCTTGAAATCTTCTTTTGGCTTAGTTGAGCTGGCTCTCTTGTGTTTTGTGTGCATCTTAGCATGCTCTTCATTTTTGGTCAAGGGTAAGCCACTGAGCTGACTCAGTCCTGTAACACTGTGATTTTCCCTGAAGTTGGGGAGCTCCCAAAGAAACCTCACCTGGGAAATCCTTAGACCTTGCTCTTATATGTGCCAGCTGGTACAGGATTGGACTCAGCCTACCCTCTGCACCAGCCAGGGCACGTCCTGGTGGGTGTAGCTGCCTGGTCAGTCCCACCCCTGGCCCTGGCTCTCATGTGATCTAGTGGGTGCTGCAGTTTAGTCCAGCCCAGCCCACCCCCAGGCCCAGCTCCCACATGCATCAGCAGGTGCTGCAACCTAGTTGGGACAACTCTGAAGAACCTCTACCTGGCTTGCCCTCAGCCTACTTTCATCCCCAGTTTTGCACATACCAGCTTGCCCTTAGCCTGAGCTCTGGCATGTACTGCCAGGTGCTGCAGCATAGGACATCCCTAAAGATTCCCTACCATGCCCTCCACCAGCATGTGCTGCAGCCTAGCACAGTGTGACCTGTCTCCCACTCCCATAGCCCCAACACTTGCTGTCAGGTACTGTGGCCTAGCATGGCCCAGCCCAGCCCTAGCCTTGGCTTTCATGTACTCTAGCATATGCTACAAAGGAAAAAAAAATTAAAACTCATTTTGTATATTTGAATTACAGATGGGAAACTGGGGAGAGAATCTTTCAGTTACTAATTTACTCTCCAAATGGCCTCAGTGACTGGGATTGGAAGAGGCCAAAGCCAGCAGCCTGGAACTCCATCCATGTCTCCCACGCAGGTGCAGGAGCCCAAGTGCTTGGGTCACCTTCTGCTGCTTTCTCTGACACATTAGCAGGAGGCTGGAACATCCAGGACTTGAACTGGCATTCATAGGGGATGCCAGCATCATAGTAGGGTTGGACATAGAATGAATTATTTTATTGGCTTTCTACATTAGAGCTTCTATATTGGTTTTTTTTTTTTTTCTTTTTGAGGGGAAATTTTCTTGATATTTTTTAGAGAAAAGAAACACAGAAGCCACTGCTCGCATCCCTAAGAAAAGGCTCCGATGGCCCCGACTGACTATGCCCCAGGAGTGTCCCTACCAGCATTCCTGCAGATGCCAACACTCCTTCCCCATGGCTCCTATCTTGCCCTGGTCATCAGCTTGGCTTCTTGTGCCAGCCAATGTGTCTGACCCACCGCCCGCCAGGGGAAGTGGGACCCCGCCACCAGGCCCAGGGAGACAGCCAGCCTGCTCCTGCCCAGCTCCTTGTGGACCAGCCAGTCTCAGAACCATCCTGATCCTTTAAGCATCCGCTGGCTGGGCCTGCCAAGGTCCCTGCTGGCAGCTATTCCGTGTGGGGCACGGCAGCTGGGAGGCCTTCCTTGCTCAGCTGCCTACTGTCACCCTCCCTGTGGACATCTTGGCCTCCCTGCATGTGGCAGTGGAATGTCCCAGGCCTGGCTCCCAAGCAGGCCAGCTGCATCCTGAGCGGGAGCAGCACACAGCTCTGCCCTCGCTTCTTCCTGCCTTTAAAGGATGCCTGGGACTAGACCGCGAGGAGGTGTCCTGCTAGGAGGAATGGACAGAGAAGGACTGGAAAGAAATCAGCTGATTGGCCATAAATGTGTCCATTTCAGAGTAGGCTTGTGTCCCTTTAAAAAAAAAAAGTAATCATTGTTATATCAGACACATGGGTTAAAATGCCAGCTGGAGCTCCCTGCCCCACACCCCATGCTGAGTGTGCCAAGTCCCAACTTTGCTGCTCATGTGTACCCTGGGGGGAGACAACTGATGATGGTTCAAGCTCTTGGGTCTCTGCCTTCCGCATGGGAGACCCAGATGAAGTTCCTAGCTTTCGCCTAGCCCAGCCCCAGCCATTGCAGCCTTTACAGAGTAGACCCACAGACGGAAAGCTTTTCTCTGTCTCTCCTTCACACTCTATAGCTGCTTTCCTAAGAAATTAATACTTTAAGTAAATATAATAGTAAACAAACCTCTGTGAATCATAGGTTTTTGACGATTTTATCTGGAGGTGGCAGCAGGGAAACCAGTTGTTCCCATGCTGGACCTGGGCTTCTTGCTTTGTGACCACCTGCTCAGGGTTGTGCTGGTCTCCTTCCAGATTGTTCTCTGGGGCCGGACTGAGAAATGCCTGAAGGAGACGACAGAGGAGATTCGTCAGATGGGTGCCGAGTGCCACTACTTCATCTGTGACGTGGGCAACCGGGAGGAGGTATACCAGACGGCCAAAGCTGTCCAGGAGAAGGTCAGTGCCTTGCTGGGATCTGAGGGCAGTGCTGGGCCAAGGACACATCCCGCGGCAGCCACAGAGGGAGCTTGGCTGGTGGCCTTGCGCAGGGCACCTGTGCAGACCCTTGCACAAAGTTAGCCCGTTACAGGATGGCTGAATGCCTGCAGGTGTGGTCACCTGTCATTCTCTTAGAAACTTGCACCTTATGAGTCTCTCTCCAGAACCCTGAGTGGACGGGCAGAGGGCCATCACCCGAGAAAGTCCCGCTGTTGAATCCACCTGCTTAGATGAGTCTCTGAACTCAGGGAAAAGAAACGGCACCCCGTTCCATGTCAAATGTAGTCCAGGCCATGAATTAATTCTGTTCTCAGGTCAACCTTGGAACAGTGTTAGTCCCCAGCTTGTGAGTAAATGCCAAAGCTCAGAGGGAAGTCCCCTGCCAGCTGCGTTCTGGGGCCAAGCCCATGCCTGTCCGGGTAGGTGCCCTCGTGACCCGTGGCTTTTATCCCCTGCAGGTAGGCGACATCACCATCCTGGTGAACAACGCCGCCGTGGTCCATGGGAAGAGCTTGATGGACAGCGATGACGATGCCCTGCTCAAATCCCAGCACATCAACACGCTGGGCCAGTTCTGGGTAACGGCATCCGGGTCCAGAGCCAGCATCAACCGCCACAGGGAGCCTGGGGGCTGGGGAGGGGATGGGTCACCAAGTGGCCAGACCCCAGGTGTGCCAGCCCTGGAGCCACCGGCCCCTGTGACTGGGGCCCAGGAAAGCGCATCCTGGTCGGCCAGCCTCTGATACAGGGCTGGAGGGGCTGGCAACAGCCGTGGTGGCTCCATACTGAGACCCCTCGTCTGCCCTCAGACCACCAAGGCCTTCTTGCCACGCATGCTGGAGCTGCAGAATGGCCACATCGTGTGCCTTAACTCTGTGCTGGCCCTCTCCGCCATCCCCGGCGCCATCGACTACTGCACGTCCAAAGCGTCGGCCTTCGCCTTCATGGAGAGCCTCACCCTGGGGCTGCTCGACTGTCCGGGCGTCAGCGCCACCACCGTGCTGCCCTTCCACACCAGCACCGAGATGTTCCAGGGCATGAGGGTCAGGTCAGTGGGTGGGGACCAGCTGCTGCCCTGGAAGAAGGACTTCTGGGGAATCCCTTCAGGGGCTTTGGCCTTGAGTTTTAGGACCTGATGCTCCATTGCAAGGAGTGGGATATGGTAGCAGGTTAGGGCTCCTGTGGGCTCGGGGAGCATGCGTGTAGGTGACAGCGGTGCTGGCTTCACATATTGGATGACTCACCAATAGACAGTCACCTGCACACACACACACACACACACACACACACACATAGGGGTTACGGGTGTCCCCAGCAGCCTGCCACATCCCCGGAATCTGTCACAGGAGTGTGTGTTTCCACTGGCTTGTACGCCAGTGAGCATCGATTCTGAACTGGGAGGAGGCTAGACTGTCAGGCCCCACACTGGCTTGCTCCCTGTGATGGCATGTTTTTGTCTGAATACATAGGAAGTGCCCAAGCCATGCCCCAGTGGCACTCGTCGCCAGCCTGGAAGTGGACTGGACAGCCAGAGACCTAGCGTGTGTGTGGCCCTCACCTGCCCGCGAAGCACCTCTTCTCCCTCATTGCCAGGCAGCCCCTCATCTCCCCAAAATCATTTTTGCGTGTGGGCCTTGACTGCCTGGGGTCAAATACCAGCTCCGTGAGCCAGTTTTCTGTTGCTGTAACTGACTGTGCTTTGCTGGTTGGTAAACAGAAGAAATCTCTGTATTTCCGGGGACTAGGATCCAAGTTCAAGGGGCTTTTCCTTTTTTCTTTTTCCTTAAGAGGAAGAAAACGCCGGGGACAGAGTTTTCTTCCGTCTGCTGTTTCACCCCCTGAGACGGCAACAAGGGCGAGGTTGAGCCAGGAGCTAAGTTAGGTCCCCATGTGGGTGCAGGGTCCCAAGCACTTGGACTATCTTCTACTGCTTCCCCAGGCGCACAAGCGGGAGTCAGGTAGGAAGTAGAGCAGCCGAGTCTCAAACCAGAGCCCAGCTGGGATACCAGAGCCTCAGGCAGCAGCTTCACCTGCTACGCCCCAGCACCGACTCCCCTGGCTGGTTTCTTAATCCGTTAGTTTATGAAAGGAGCAGCTCATTCCTGCAACAGAACCTTCATGGCCCAGTCACCTCCCATGATCCCTCTGCCTCCCATGAGCACATAACTTTGGCAATGAACTTTGCAGAATCCTGGGAGTCACACATTAACACCACAGCCTCCAGGGATAGGGGTTAGTAATAGAAACCCCCCACCTCTGGGCTTAGATGAGCTCTCATGTGCGATTAGCCATGTCTGGCAAGTAGTGAGATGAGATGACTGTCACCTCTGCTTGGGCAGGCGCACCCTGAGGCGTGGCAAGAATACCACCTGGAAGAACGCTGCTTTCTTAACCAGCTCTGAGTCCCTGCACCCAGGCTGGGCAGCTTTTAGCACTGTAGGTGGGAGCCTGACTGGGACAAAGTTGGTGGGTTTGCCAGCAGGCTTGGCCAGTGGAGCCATCACCTCTTCCTGCTGCTCTGGGTGCTCATTGCACCCCTGTGTCACAGGCGCCACTCCTGGTGACAAGAGCTAAGACGGCTCTCATTCCCATTTTACAGATGAAGAGACTGAGGCTGCAAGAAGCACTGCCTCGCCCCAGACCACACATCTGAGCAGGCTTCATCCTTGGGTTTGTGCATTGTTAAAAGCTGTGGGTTTCTCATCTACCCATCCCTCCCACCACAGACAGCCAGGAGAGAAATCTTGCCAGCGGATACTGCTGGGAACCTTTGTGTCAGATGCCCCTGCAGGGGTCTCAGTGGGAAGCATCCCTCATAAGCCCACGGAGCCAGATTGCTCCATTCTGGTCTCCCCAGGTAGCAGGTGTGGCCACAGGGCAGCAGGAGAAGCCAGGCTGTCTGCCGCATGGTCAGGGCCCCAGTGTCAGGCTACCTGGACACGGTCATGTTGCAGATTCCTAGAGACTGCACACCCCCCACGCCACCCCAGGGTCATGAGGCTCTAGGTCTCTGTGACAGAGAAGGAATGCAAGGCCATGGGTGTGTTCTGGGGACCTGTAGGACTAAACTCCTGCCAGGAGCCCATGAGTGGCCCCTTGCTTGGGAATGACATCAGAGCCCATTGACTCATCACCCTTAATCTTGCCGGTGCCAGAGTGGATCACAGGCCCTTTGTGGGATTGGGGTCAGAGCCAGCAGCAGCAGCCCTGTACCTACAAGCCCAGGAGGGCAGGCAGAGCAGTGAGTGGTGGCCAGAGAATGTTCTAGAATTTGTGTGGGCCCATCTAAATCTTGGGTGTCCCACTTACTCTCTGGAGCCTTGGCCACCTTATCTGTAAGTTGCAGAGTATGACTCAGGCACAGGTCTGACACGTGGGGACTTTCACCATCATCTGGGTCCAGGATGCCTCGCTCATTCCCGCTCATTCAAACTCGGGGTTTGAATGACTGCATTGCAAAAATAGTTGTTAATCCGGTAAACAGGGCAGAAGGCAGAGCCCACCTCGGGATAAGGAGGACACATTTGGGAACTGGCAGATCCCATCCAGCAAGAATTTACCAAGCACCTGCCATGTGCCAGATGCTGGGTGCATAGCAGAGAGCGAGCCCAACCTGGCTTCAGTGTAGGGGAGACCTTGACAAGGGGACAGCAAACAAGCAAGGCCATGCTCGGCACACAGATGCCACCAGGAAAGTGAGCAGGGCAGGTCAGAGGTCATTGGGATGGACGGGGCTCAGATGCTCACCAGTTCCCACTGGGAGGAGAGGGCCTGGCTGTGGGAACTGCTGACAAAGGCCCTGGCAGGAGAGACATAAGGGGACAAGGACAGAAAAATGTGCTGGTCCCGCATGAGGAAGAGGAGGTCAGAGCCTGCAGGAGGGGAGGCTGCACTTGACCCCATGAGAGCCCCTGGCAGGTGTCACAGAATGGACCTCTTAGTGTGCAGGCTGGCGGTCCTTGGTTTCTTAAGGGAGACACCCTGCGAGCCGAGAGCACCCATTCGCCTCACTGAGGACAGGCCCGGGTTGCGAAGGCCCCAGCGTCAGCCGAGCTGTGGGGAAGCTTCCAGCAGAAGCACTCGCGTGGCCGGGGACAACCCACAGTGTGTCTTCCTGGGTTCAGGTTCCCAAAGCTCTTCCCGCCGCTGAAGCCGGAGACGGTGGCCCGGAGGACGGTGGAAGCTGTGCAGTTGAACCAGGCCCTGCTCCTATTGCCATGGACCATGCACATCCTCATCCTCTTGAAAAGGTATCTGGGGGCGAGCGGGGAAGGGGGCGCGGCCATGGCTCCTTTGAGCCCCGGCCCTGGTGGGGGAGAGCTGGCAGGGCGGAGGAAGCCTCCAGGATCCGTTAGTCTTGCCTGCTGTGGGCGCATCTGCCGCCCCAGATGGCTCTCAGCCTGGGGCTCTTACAGATCGCTGAGGAATGCCAAGGCCCTTTTTATTCTGGGAGTCATGGCTGTCACTGTGGCCTGAGAAACTGAAGCTAAGAGAAAAAGAAGATTCCAGTATGTATGTGTTGGCTTACCTGTATGGCTATTCATTCATAAGTAACAGTAGCAAATCTCTTATATTAGCATAAATGTACATTTTTATGACCCGAAAGTATATTTTGTCCAAAACAATACAGTAAGGAGTGGCAGTTAGAGAGGGAGAAAGAGAGAGAGAGAGAGAGCTCTTCCATCTGCTGATGAACTGACTCTACAAGCAGCTGCCAGGCTTAGGCAGAGCCAACCCAAAGCCAGTTCCAGGTGCTCCATCAGGGTCTCCCACAAGGATGCAAGGGCCCACACACTAGGGCCATCGTCTGCTTCTTTCCCAGGCCACTAACAGAGAGCTGGATTGGAAGTGGAAGAGCCTGGACCAAACTGGCACTCATAAGAGATGCTGGTGTCTCAGGCGGGAGCTTCACCCACTGTGCCACAGCACCAACCCCTGCTGATTTATATATCAGCATATCCCCATTGTCTGGTTCCGCTGAAGATACCTACATTCCCGTATCTGCTTCTTACTTTAATCAGCTGGCACGCCCTGTGATGTGTAGCCTCTGGAAAATTCTATCATGTGTGCATGAGAACCCCAAAATGAGAAAGACAAGCAACACTTCAGCATTATTGTAATAAGGGCTGGTCTCAGACCCCAGAAGAGATCTTGGGTACCCGAAGGATCCCTGAATCACCCATCACAAGACATGGCCACCCGGGCACCAGCAGCCTTCAGGGAGCTTTGCCTCAGGGGGGTTGACACCAAAGTCTCAGAAATTGCCGAGGCTCCAAAGTGGTTCAAACTGCATTGAGGAGGGGGCTTTAAGAGAGAGGCCGCCCACAGAATTTGATCAGCATTCTAGTCTAGTTCTTTGAAAAGGCCAAGTGCCGTGGTATAACGGGTTAAGCAGCTGCCTGCTCCAGCATCCTACATGAGCACCAACTCTAGTCGCAACAGCCCCACTTCCAGTCCAGCTCTCTGCTAAGCCTGGGAAAGCAGTGGAGGATGGCCCAAAGCCTCAGGCCCCTGCACCCGTGTGGGAGACCCGGATGAAGCTCTGGGTTCCTGGCTTAGGTCTGGCTCAGACCTGGCCATTACAGCCATTTGAGGAGTGAACCAGCAGATGGAAGATTCCCTAACTCTGCCTTTCAAATCAATAAAATAAATCCTTTAAGTGGGGGAAGGGCACAGAAATGAAGAGATAGAAGGAGAGTGCCCATCCCACAATGCCCTCAACAGCCAGGGCTGGATCAGACGGAAACCAGAAGCCAGGAGCCTCATCTGGCAGAGCCCAGGTACCATTCAGGAAGGCAAGGTCCTCTCGCCCCGTCACCTCCCGAGGCCCCACTCCCAACACGTGCCAGGGCATTACGTTTCAACGTGCACTTGGGGACCCAGCGCCTCCAAACTACAGCACGTGCCGGGATCACGGCCTGGGGCATCTGTGCCCCGCCCGCTCCTACCTGCACAGAGTTCATCGGCTGACTTGAGAGCCTTTGCCCTGGGGGGGTGGGCATTGGGCTCTGGGGGGGAAATCCTGGCATGTGGCTCAGAGAGGGAAGAGGCCCGAGCCCCCCGGCCCAGGCTGACCGTCTGCCGCTTCCCTCCCCATCCCCGCCCCCAGCATTCTGCCACAGGCTGCGCTGGAAGAGATCCACAGATTCTCAGGAACTTACACCTGCATGAACACGTTCAAAGGGCGGACATAGAGCAGGAAAAGAGACACTCGGAGAGCTGTGGGGGAGCCTGAGGCGGCCTGGGCACCTGGGCACGCGCCCACGCGCCTGCCCCTCGACACACTGCTGCTGGGTGAACAGGACTGCTCCTGTCACCAGGGAGGAATCCGGCCACCCACGCCCAGCCTGCCCCAGGACCTTTGCACAGGACTGACGGGTATAACTGACCCCCATGGGGTGGCAAGAGACCAGCCAGCAGCCGCCTTGTCACTTTGGTCCATTTTTGAGTCTGTAGAGTCTGTCGTTCAGTTGCTTCTCGGCTGTCCCCAGCATCAGCAGTGTGCAAAGACTGTTTCTGGGAGCTTCTGTCCCCACACACATCTGCCTTCCCCTTCAAAATCCACCCACCCGGTCATCAACCTGCTGCGCAAACTGGTTGGAAGGCAGGAATGATAAATAAAAAGTTGGCTTTTGCGAGTGTCTTGGTTCAAGTCCTTGGGGGCAGTTGGGAGGAGACCAGCCCTAACCACAGAACCCCATCTTGGCAAAAGATACTTGATCGGCTCAGGGTCACCAGCGGCCGGGAGTAGATGAGGGGACACGGTGACACTGGAGCCCAGGGCAGAGGGAAGCGCCTGGTTCTTGCCTGGCTCTGCCAAGGCCCCATTCCAGATGTGACCTCCACGAATTCGTCTGCAGTCAGCTGGCCACAGCACCACCCTGGTCCTGCCCTGTGCCACCAGCCAGCGGCCACCCAACTGACGAGCACCTGCTGGCTGCCCAGCACACACTGGGTGTTGTGAGCGGAACAGGGCCCAGAAGCCCACTCTGTACCACCACGCAAGATACCCGGGATGTGGCTTAGATACCGCACGGAAAGGCAGGCACCAAGGGGTGCAAGAGGCCCTGTGTCCCCTGGGTTGCAGGGGACACAGGGGAACTAGCAAAGCAGGAGAGATTCGTGGCTCCCTGGATGTTGGGTGGTACACTTGCAGCCAGTTTCCATAAACCTAACTTTGGCTGGCAGCGGAGAGGTGGTACGGGCTTGGAGAGGGGAGCAGGCAGGGGTTCCCCAGGGACTAGGGTGAGGTCAGCAGCCTGAGATTTTCCTGGGTCAGGCACGACCCTGCCCCAGGTTGTGCCCCAAGCACCAGCCTCAGCTCCAGCCAGTACCTGTCCAGTCCAGATGAGGAAGCGTGGCAGAGAAATGTACAGGTGTCTGCCCGAGGTGGTGCGGCATCCTCTCCAAGCCTGTTGCCCCCCAAATCCTCAAAACCCAGCCCTGCTCTACAGACAACCCCAGCTACGCCGACTCTCAAGGGTGCCCAGCAACAAAGGGTTCTGTTCTCAGCGTGTCACCTGTACCCTGGGGGAGTCAGGGAGACAACCCAGGAACAGGCCTTGGCACAGCTCAGCTGCTGCAGGCACCGCACACCGGAGTTTCCGCGGGAATACAGTGTGCGTCACGTCCACTCATCAGCCAACCCCAATCTTGTGACCAACCCCACCCTGGGCGCCACAAGAACCCTAGTCCCATTGGTAGGGCAGCTGGCAGTTTTGAGTGACGGTGCAGTCCAGTAGCTGCAGGAGAGGAAGAGTTCATGTTTGGGCCACGGATGGAGGAGAGTGACCACCAAGACTGAGACCCAGCATGATAGCTCAGTGGCTAAATCCTCACCTTGCACATGTCAGGATCTCGTAGAAGCACCGGTTCATGTCCCAGCTGCTCCACCTCCCATCCAGTAATCTGCTGGTTGCCTGGGAAAGCAGTGGAGGATGGCCCAAAGCATTGGAGCCCTGAACTTATATGGGAGACCTGGAAGTGGCTCCTGGCTCCTGGCTTTAGGTCTGCTCAGCTGTGATCATTGCCGCAATCTGGGAAGTGAACCAGTGGATGGAAGATCTTTCTGCCTCTTCTTCTCTCCATAAATCTGATCTACCTTTCCAATAAAAATAAATAGATCTTCAGAAAAGGAGAGAGACTGACGATTGTGGGCACACACCCCATTGTGACCCTGGCAAAGGAAGCCCATTTCCCAGATGGGAATACAAAGTAGGAGTTGGAATCGGGCATCTGCTTCCACTCATACCTTGCTTCCCGGCACCTCACTGGGACCTTCCTTCTGACCCTAAGGACAGGTGCTCAGCCGTGCATTCCCATCTCTGTTGTTGCACCATGGCCTGGCTGGGGCCCCGGTGGTGGGGCCTGTCTCTGAAGAGATAGGCTGGGAGGACAGAGGAGGGCCAAGCGGGCTCCTGTTGTTAGACTCCTGTTGTGCCCCGAATTATCTCACCATCCTTGAACCACAGGTAGGCAGGGTGTTAGGGACACTGCAGGCCTTCAGGCCGGGAGTGAGTGAGGATCCCTGCGCTCTGACCAAGCACGGAGGGAGCAGGGTTCAAGCACACCTCTCCAGCCCCTCCCAGTGCTGCTGGACCCCCCGGAGGCGGCTCTGGGGCAGAGGGAGGCCTGGACCCACCCCACTGCTTCCCATCCACCAGGAGCTTCCAAATCTTTCTGGATCTTTTCCCAGAGGAGCAAGGGAAAGGCCTTGGGCAGATTCCCAAGAGGCCGCATTCTCACCCCTTGCTGTGATGGCTTGCCGGCTGCCTGGAGAGTGAGCGTGCAGAGCTAATTATGTTGCTGCAAGCTCAGCCGAGAGAGAGAGAGAGAGAGAGAGAGAGAGAGAGAGAGAGATTGAGAGAGAGAGAGAGAGAGAGAGAGAGAGAAACTGAGAGAGATACCGGGCCTCCTAGCCCCAGACAACTGGATCGGGGGTAGGCATGGAGACCATGAGGCACCAGACCCAAGCCCCATCCTGGCCCCGTCCCCAGCGCTCGAGACCCTGCAGTGAGGAGCTGTGTCCTGGGGCCAGCGTCCTCCAGGAAACAGCTTCTCATCTTCCCGGGCCAACATGATGGCCGGGAGGGCTCATTGCAGAGGGTCGTGTGGGAGCTGGGACCACCTGCACACAGCACCCCTGCTTCGGACAAAGCCGGGAGGTAACACGTTTCTCACAGTGTCCAAGCCCCCGCAGATCCACCCCTGAGGCCCAAATCCAACCCGGACCCCAGCAAAGGCCAGCAGACTCACCAGGATGTGAGGGTCCCAGGGTCTGGAGTTTCATGTCCCACCTTTGCCACCTCTTGGGAAGGACACACCTTTCCTGCCCTACAACATGCAAGTGATGCCATGCCACCTTCCAGGGCTGAGATGAGCATTCAGAGGGAGCCAGACATCGGAAAGTTCTAGAAACTCAAGGGATCAGGTGCTGGCAGAACCCAGCCAAGGACCTGCACGCCCCAACTCCACCCTTGGGGTGCCTGGCATCACCACCAGGGTATGGCTTCCTTCATCCTTCACATAGCTCAGACAACCCCAGCATGGGTGGTGGGTGCTAGGGCACAGGGCCCCCAGCAGGACATGCAGAGCTTCCAGGGGCCAAGGGTTTGCTGCCGCTCCAGGGCACAGCCTTTGTGCAGGACAGGACAACCGCAGGGCACTTCTCTGGCACCTCCCATCACTGGCAACTCTGCACACCCCCTCCTTCTGCAGCGCCTAAGTGTCCCGGTGGCTCAGGAATCCAGCCATTTGTCCCAAGGTGCTGCTGCTGGGCATGGCAGCATCAGTCTGCCCACCCCTCCTGGGGGCACCCCCATGGTGTGCTGGCCACCAGGAGCTCCTCCCACACAGCCCTGTCCCCTGCACCTTGCTGTAAGCACCGCTTCACGTGGCTTCTCCTGGCCAAGCTTCTGCATCCCTTCTGCTGGTCGGGCATGGTTGTCAAATTTTTGTTGCATATGCAGGAGACAGCTCTACGGAGATGGAACTTACACACCACAGCACCTGCCTGATGAAGTGTGTGGCTCAGCGGTCCTGGGGCTCACTACACCCCCGAGCTGTCCCTGTGTGCCCCCAGCTTTGTACCTTGGCCAGCACCAGCCGGTCTGCCTGCGGCCTGGCCTGCCAGGGACCCGTCAAGTCACACAGTGGCCGCCTCTGGCGACTTGCACTCACCGGCTGTGCGCAGAGCCCCCCTATGTGAAAGCATGAGTCAGATACCGCCCTTTCTTGCTGCCCCAATGGTATGGTACTAGAACCATTCACCACTCCTTTCCACTTCTATTGGTGTCTTTCGTTTTATTTGCAAGACACTGAAATGTGGACATTGAGACAGACGCCCACCACAACCTGGGTGGAGCCATCCAGGACCCAGGAATTAGGGGCTCCATTCTGGTCTCCCTCGTAGGGGACAGGGACCTCCTAGAGTGTACATTAGCAAGAAGCTGAACCGAGCAGAGGGGCTCACACCACGCGCTCGGCTCTGGGTGTGGGTGTCGCAAGAGGCGGCTTACTGCTGCTCCCAGTGCCCACCCCATCCATCACTATTTTTAATAGTTTACTTAAGGGACTTGCACAGTGGTACAGCAGGCTAATCCTCAATCCTGTGGTGCCGTCATCCCATGTGGGCGTCAGCTCAAGTCCCAGCTGTTCCACTTCTGATCCAGCTCCCTGCTATTGTGCCTGGGAAGGCAGCAGAGGACAGCCCAAGGCCTGCGGCCCCTAAACCCACTTAGGAAACCTGGAAGAAGCTCCTAACTCCAGCTTCGGATCAGCTCATCTCTGGCCATTACGGCCATTTGGGGAGTGAACCAGCGAATGAAAGACCTTCTCTATCTCTCCTCTCTCTGTAAACATTTGCCTTTCAAACAAAAAAGTTTTTTGAAAGGCAGAGTGTTGGAGAAAATGGAAAGGTTGAAGCTCTTCACTCTGCAAACACCATAACCAGCAAGTCTAGGCGAGGCCAAAGCCAGGAGCCCAGAGCAACTGGGATTTGTACAGAACGCTCGATACTGCGAGTGGTGGCTTAACCTACTGTGCCCTAGTACTGGCCTTCCAATCTTTTTTTTTTTTTTTTAAGGCTTATCTTGTTTATTTGAATTCCAGAGTTACAGAAAGATAAAGGAAGAGCTGAAGAAACAGAGATCTTCCCTCCACTGGTTCAGTCCCCCAAATGACAGAGCTGGGCCAGGACACAGCCACAAGCTTCATCCACATCTCCTATGTCAGTGCAAGGACAGCCTTTGCTGCTTTCCCAGGAGCAGTAACTGGGGGATGAGTCGGAAGTCGGGACTCGAACTGGCACCCTTATGGGATGCCAGCACTGCAGGCAGCAGCTTAACTAACTGTACCACAGCGCTAGTCCACAGTCACCATTCTTGAGGGCTGTTGGGGGCGGTGTTTATTCCCTGCTCCATCCAGGTCTGTCTCCTCCTCCACACGGTACTCCCGGGTAGGCCTGGCCCACTCCTCTCAGTAAAGGCTTGCTACAGGACAAACCCCAGTCACTATTGCTTGTCAGAGGAGGAAGACACAGGCTCGCCCTGTCCACACAGGTGCTGAGTAGACAGCTGACACTCCAAGGTCCCCCACATCCAGAGCACTAGGCCCCCTTCCCACCTGCTGTGCCACT